CCTCAGGACGCCTGGGTTCCGCCCCGGCTCGTTGCGGGAGCATCGCTCTGCTGCTAGGCACGTCTCTAAAACAAACCGCAGGCGGCCGCCAATGCTCCCTCTCGTTAGTGTTTTTCCCCCCCGCCCCGGGACGGAATAAATTTTATGGTGTGCGCGGAGGCACGCGCGAGTGTGCACCACCCGGCGGAACGCACGCTGCCGGCGGTGGGAGCTCTGGGCAGCACCTGAATCTCTCCTGGGGGCCCGCCCAAGAGCTCCGCTGATAGGGTAACCGGGCGCAGGCGGCCGCCAATGCTCCCTCTCGTTAGTGTTTTTCCCCCCCGCCCCGGGACGGAATAAATTTTATGGTGTGCGCGGAGGCACGCGCGAGTGTGCACCACCCGGCGGAACGCACGCTGCCGGCGGTGGGAGCTCTGGGCAGCACCTGAATCTCTCCTGGGGGCCCGCCCAAGAGCTCCGCTGATAGGGTAACCGGGCGGCCACCTGTGCTGGCTGCACATCCTTGGCCACCAGCTAGAGTGGCCTGTGGGTCTTCACATGGGGGAAGGGAGGTGGTGTTTGGGCTGTCAGCCTCCGACAGAGCCCCTGGGGTGGGAATAACAAACTAGAACCTGATCTCTACGAGAAACCTAAGTTGACCTCGCTGTGGTGCTGGGGGTGTGGGAATTGCCCAATTTTTTCACACCGCTAGGAGGCGAACTGAGGTTGATCTAAGACAAATCAATGGCTGGGTGCCACCAGGTTGTGCAGAGAGACTGATGTTCGATGTATTAATATGTGGCCTGGTAAAGGGAGTAGTATGCAGTGGTGAGGCAAAAATGCAGGTCACACAAGTATTTAGATTAGTCCGGGTTCTTCAAAAAATCTTCTCAAACTCCAGAGACATACAAGGAAGCTAGGAATGGAAAACGTGGTGGCTGATGAACTTCAGTTTTTACAGGGGAAAGGTAGAACGCACGTTGGAAGGAGTAATTGGAACCCATTGTACATTGTGCTGCAGTATAGTTGTAACCACACAAGAAAATAGTCCAGACATCATCGTGGATGGTGTTAATGAAAAAACATAAGCTCAGTGTGCAGTCCTCTGAAAACCAGTACTCTCTGGTTCGGCAACATCCGTGGTCCAACGGGACTTCGGATGCTCCTGGACCAGAGAACCCAGCAGGATAATGTCAAGAGGGCCAGCTGGGTCTGGGGGCAGCAGGAGCCCCACAGCAGTGCTGGGGCCAGGGATTGAAGGGGTGGGGATCAGGATGGGGCTGGGGAACCCCAGGTGCCTGCAGCAGCACAGCCAGAAGCTGTAGAGCCTGGCTGTTCACAGCAGTGGAGCCAAAGAACCCTAACAACCTGTGGCAGGCAGCAGAGGATCAGGGGGCCAGAGAAGCCCAGCCACCTGCAGCAGCGTGGGGCTGGGGATATCTGACTGCATACAGCAGCATGGGCCAGAGAACCCCAGCCACCTGTGTCGGGGCGGCTGGCTCAGGCCTGTGGCAGGGGATGCCTCCCCTGATCCGGCAAATTCCTGACGGTGCAAGATCAGGGAGGTCCAACCTGTATAATGCCACTTTTATAAAGAAATAAAAGGTTGTCCTCATCTGAAATACTGTATTCAGCTATGGTCACTCTTTCTCAAAAATTATAGCAACAGCAAGAGGTCAGAGATACAAAATAAGTGGTTTTGAAGTCAGGATGTGAATGATTAACTGGTTAACCGGTTAACTGGTGGGGCCTAGAGCAGCACCCCCTGTAGGGTGTCGCAGGTAGGGGCAGCTCCTGTGGGCCTGGGCACCCTGCAGGCAGGGGCTGCTCCAGCCCAGCTGCGGACAGCGGGGTGGGGGTACTCTAGCTGGGCTGAAATGGCCCTCCTGCTCACCTTCCCTTTAACCAGCTAACCCATTAGTGAATTAAACAGGATTTTACATCTCTATTTTGAAGTATGGAAAGATTTATGTAAGAGAGCAAGATGAGTGAGACTGTTTAATATAGATAGGAGTTAAAAAGGGTTTATATATATTGGGAAATTGACCATCATATCTATAGCAGATTAACTATTCAGCTATAGTTACTCTGCGCTAAGTGATTTTTGAGTTCTTACATGGATTTTTTTTAACAATTTGTCCACATCTTTTTTAAATTGTGGTGTCCAGAATTGGACACAGTACTCCAGCTAGGGCCTCAGCAATGGTGAGAAGAATGAGACCATTAACTTTCATGTTTTTACATACAACACTTCTGTTGTTAAACCCCAGAATCATACTAGTCTTGTTTGCAGCTGCATCACATTGGCAATTCATATTCAGTTTCATGTTGATACATTGGAGATGGTTCTGTGAAGAGCCCCAACAGTGTTAAAGGATTGGAAAGCATGCCTAACAGTGAGTGATAGACTTAAGGAGCTTGAACTTTCTAATTTAAAAAAGAGAAGGTTAAAGAGTGAGATCAGTTTGTAAGTACCTACATGGGGAAAAATTATTTGACAATATAACAAGATCCAATGACAGCAAGTAGTTAGACAACTTCAGACTAGAAATGAGGTGTACATTTTTAACAGTGAGCTAATTAATTAGGATAATTGGATGTTTCTTTAAAAAATGTGCTCTAGTTGAAATAGAACTCCACAATAATTCCAATGGCCTGCGTTAGCAGGAGGTCAGATTAAATGATCACATTGGCTCTCCTGGCTTTAGAATGTATGATTCTGTAATTACAGAGCCTTTTTCGTTTGGGTTATTGTGTCACGCACATACAAGTGAGAAATTGCATGTTTTGGCTACAGAACTATATAGATGAAAACAAAAAAGTGAACTAGCAGCATGTTAATGGAAAGGATAAAATGGGAAAGTGTAATCCGCGGTGGTTTGTTTTAGTACGTGCCACCATCATGATTCAAATCCAACATGTCATCCATAACCTTGTATTTTAGGACTACTTGTTAGTAAACATGATGCATTGACTGCTGAAGATCTTACAGATTCAAGTGTATATCTTAACTTTTTGCAGAGCATTGCAGAGGTGTTCCGATGTTTCATTTGTATGGAAAAATTGCGTGATGCACGTCTGTGTCCACATTGCTCCAAGCTGTGTTGTTTCAGTTGCATTCGGGTAAGTTAACTTTTTCTATTTTCTGTGTATACATAGATTAGCTAAAGAGCTACAGCAGCAGTGGGCATAAACTGTCACAGGGGGAGCATGCCACAAATTTTGGTAAGTTGTCATTGGCACATGCCAGTAATTGCAGAAATGCATTTCCAGATCCAGCTCGCTGGCCATATTTTGCCCACTCCTGAGCTACAGGGTAAACTTAATTTTATCCTCTTCAGAGCACTGAGAAATTCCTTTCCTTACTATGTGCTCCTTATTTCTCCCCATAAAAGTTATAACTTGTAGTATGCCCAACCCTTTTGGCTCACCTAATGCAGTTTCTTGATTAGCTGGAAGAATCACTTTTGAGAACAAGCATACAGCAGTCCATTCCTCTAACATCTCATAAGGGGCATTTATAGTGGTGCCTATCTGTAGCACACAGTTCTGCCAGGCCATAATCCTTTTGTCATTTGTGAGGCATTGTCCACGTTGTAAAACAGGCTTCAGTCATGGTTGCTGTACTGTTTGTCTGAGGTAAATAGGCTGAAGTTAATAAGGACAAATGCAAAGTACTCCACTTAGGAAGGAACAATCAGTCTCACATATACAGAGTGGGAAGCAACCGTCTAGGAAGGAGTACTGCAGAAAGAGATACAGGGGTTGTAGTGGGCCACAAGCTAAATATGAGTCAACAGCGTAATGCTGTTGCAAAAAAGCAAACGTGATTCTGGGATGCATTAACAGATGTGTTGTGAGCAAGACACGAGAAGTCATTCTTCTGCTCTACTCTGAGCTGGTTAGGCCTCAGTTGGAGTATTGTGTCCAGTTCTGGGCGCCGCATTTCAAGAAAGATGTGGAGAAATTGGAGAAGGTCTAGAGAAGAGCAACAAGAATGATTAAAGGTCTAGAGAACATGACCTATGAAGGAATACTGAAAGAATTGGGCTTCTTTAGTTTTAAAAGGAGAAGACAGAGCGGACATGATAGCGGTTTTCAGATATCTAAAAGGGTGTCACGAGGAGGGAGAAAAATTGTTTTCCTTAGCCTCTGAGGATAGGATAAGAAGCAGTGGGCTTAACCTGCAGCAAGGGAGGTTTAGGATGGACATTAGGAAAAAGTTCCTAACTGTCAGGGTGGTTAAACACTGGAATAAGTTGTCTAGGGAAGTTGTGGAATCTCCCATCACTGGAGATATTTAAGAGCAGGTTAGACAGACATCTATCAGGGATGGTCTAGATAGTACTTGGTCCTGCCATGAGGGCAGGGGATTAGACTCAATGACCTCTCAAAATCCCTTCCAGTTCTAGTGGTCTGATTCTATGAAACTGTGTTCAGAAACCATGTTAGAAACCTGTTGAATGGGTAGTCTTGTACATGGTTTTGGCCAGTGTGATTGCGTGCCATAAAATTATGAGCACTGTTATATCTGACAGTAACACTTTCAGCATGGTATTGAGTGTAGGAACTAGGACTTGTAGAGGTGGAAGATTTTGAGATCATAAGTAGGGATGTAGAAGATTAATTGGTTAACCAGTAGGAGCTGGGGCAGCCCCTCTCCCCTACCGCAAGTGACATGCTTGCTTCTAGGTAGCCAGCTGCAGCAAGGCCACTGCTCTGGGCCCCTGCCAGCCCCGCTCTTCGGGGGGGGATTCACTGTGGGCTCTTCAATATAAAGCTTCTTTAAGCTTAAATAAGCTTTGTACTGCAGAGCCTGCAGCATAGGTAACCACTATGATTTTTAGCAGTTACATGGTTACATTTTAAAGTGCATTTATACATCCCTAATCTTAAGCAGTGTTTATGGGTCTGGCAAATAGAAAATCCATCCTTTGACTTGTAACTTGTGCATGTGATTATAGATCACGATATTAAGGATTCTAGCCATGCTTTAAGGATGCTGAATGATGGACGTAGCACTCAAATGGCTGTTAACTTTTTTTAGGCTCAGGACCCATTTGTAAACCTTGATGGACTGTCATGACCCTGAGACATGCCCCGAGAGTTCTCCTCCTCCCAGTGGTCTGTGCAATGTGAGGAGGAACTTAGGCCTGGCTTACACTGGGAGTTTAGGTTAAATTTAGCCCGATAAGGTGGGTTTTTTAAACAAGGAGTCCACATTACCAAGCCCGTTGCATCTGCTTTAAGAGCTGCTGAAGTCTGTTTCAGTACTTTTGCTTTTACAACCTTGCATGGTCAAATTTACGGTAGTGTAGAACCAGCATTGCGAATATTGACGTTCTTGAGCTCTGGGAAGCATCCCACAGTGCCCTGCTGTGACCACTCTGTCCAGAACTTGCTACTCTGTTGCTCTCCAGGTGAACAGGAAAAGCCCTGGGAAAGCTTGAATTTCATTTCCCACATGGCCAGTGTTGTAAGCATACATCAGAGCAGGCAACACACCTGAACATCACATGTAGCTATGAGTTCCATGACTTTAAGTCTCATGAGCTCCAGTTCCCAGGGACACAGAAGCGCACCAGCATGGAGTATGAAGATGATTTTGGACCCCATAAAGGCATGGGGAGAGGAATGCATTCTCTGAATCAGCAAATGAAACACAGACACTCATGCGAAGATTGCAAAGTGCACGGTGAAGAAAAGGTACCTCAATGATGCCCAACAGTGCAATGTTAAAATAAAATAGCTGAGGCAGTCTGATCACAAGACCTAAGGAGGCAAATGGACAGACTAGTGCACCACCACAAACATGCTGATTCTATGACCAGCTGCATACGGTCCGGGGGTAGTGGGGTGAGACCTGACCAGCTTCCCAAGATAAACTATGGAATCCTTCCAAGATGCTCAGGGCAGCAGCGTGGAGGAAGAGAATGGCCAGCCGGTGAGTGTCAAGAACTTTATAACCTTGGAGACGATCCCCTCCTCCCAGGATGTCTGTCGGGCACCATACCCAGGGAGGGCACTTCTGGTGAGTTCACTTTGTTTTTCTTGCTACAAGAGGGTAAGGCAGTTTGGTGTGGCACACTCTTGTGCCTACACAGCATGGGGCCCCTGTAATAGCTTGTTAACTAGTGATGTTAACTATTGTTTGTGTAAACGAGTAACCACTGGAGATACTAGTGGTTTCACATTTACATGCAGGGAGGTGGGAGCCAGTGCTTGGGGGCTCCTGCCTTCCCTCTTCCCCCCACACTGCTGCCTCTGTGGGAGGCAGAAAGGGGGGGCAGGCAGCTCTGTGGGTTCTAATATGTGGGAGCTGGCTTAAAAGCTAGCTCCCCATGCACACCAGGTCCCAACTCCCCTGCCCCCTTTGCTGCTGCCTCTGATACAGCTGATACAGTGCATGTAACCCAGGTTGATTGGTTAATTGTGTAATGGTCTGCACGCTAACATCCCTATTGTTAACCTGTCTGGAGATGGAGTGGGAATCCTCCCTGCACATCTCCATGAAACTCTTATAGAGGAACTTTTTGATCCTTCTCACAAGGATTCTGGGGAGGCCTGCCTTATTCTGTCCTCCGTGGTAGGATACTTTCCTGTGCCAAGCAATCAGTAAGTGGTCTGGCATCATTGTAGCACAAAACATTGCCGCATAAGGCCCAGGTTTATGGCCACATTCAGTCAGTATCAGCTCCCTATTGCTATGTGATTTGGAGAAGACTGATATCTTGCATGGCAACCTGGATGAAGGAGCAGGGGAAGCTATTAGCTGTGTTCTCTGCTGCTAGTATGGTTTCAGCCTCTGGCATTCCCTCTGTCCCTCCTCCGCCTGCCTACAGGCTCCTATGGAATGGGAAAGTAGCACTCTTCCAGGAAGCGGTGTGTGGTGGTCACAGAGGAGGGAAGCCGCATGAGCCACCATCCTGCCCCGATAGCATGACCTGACCCTGTCCTCCCTTGCAAGTCCTGGTAGGCCTCTTACCATGACTGTCTCCAAACCGGGTGAATCCAGATGTTCCCTTCAGAACACTTTCTTGTACCTGCTGTACTGTGGTCATTAAAGCATAATTTTGGCCTTGCAAATAACATATCTTCATTGTTTTTTAGAGAGACCTTCACTATATGGTAACAGATTAGGTTTTAGGCTCCACAATGTATTTCCTGTAATGTGTGCCCTTCTAACTTTTTGTTACAGCGGGAAGAGCACGGGGCTTACTGCTCCATCAGTTGTCTGGCTCTCACAAATCCGCAGAAAAAATGGATAAGGTATGACATGTTTAAGAAGCAAATGGAATGGAGGAATATGCTACTGGAGTAGATATGAGCAGAACTGCAGGAGAGGAGGGCATACAGGAAACTGCAAGTGAAGCACCAGGATGATGTCTTTTTGTCCCTGACGGCTGTGATAAGTGCATGGTGGCTTGCCTTGAGAGGCTTCTACCCCACCCATTGCAGAACTATCCTCACCTAGTTCTGTAGCCTCCACCCCCAGGGACCCTAGAACGTGAGGGATGGGAGAACTAAAGGGCAGCCTCACACTCAACCTCTAGTGCGTCGCAAAGCAAAAGGCTGTCCCTGTGTTTCTGATTCTCCCTCCCCCCCACCCTTGAAGGCCCACCAGGGACTCCTTTTCTGTCCCCACTTTCTTCCCTAAATAAAAATACATGATTTCTGAGCAACAGTCTCTTTCTTACTTGTATTACAGGGATGGGGTGGGGAATTACAGGCAAACACACTGAATGCAGAGGCACCTGGTTGAGAGCAATATGTATGAGTCTCAGAACTGGCCATTCATAAAACTTTCTTTCAAAGCTTCTGATTTGCACTGCCCGGTGCTGTGCTCTCCCTATTGCTCTGGTGTCTGGCTGCTCAAAATCTCTGGTTAGGCGCTCTGCCTCAGCCCCCCATCCTGCCAGATAATTTTCTCCCTTGCTCTCACATATTATGGAACACACAACAGGCTGCCACCACAATGGTTCACTGAGGTCTACCCTAATCAGGAGATTCCTAAACCTTCCCTTTAAATACCTAAAAGCACATTAAACTACCAATCTGCTCTTTACTGCAGTCCAGGCTGCCAGCGTATGGCTTCATGAGCCATGGGAGCAAGGTGTAAGCTGGGTCACCAAGGATTACAATTGGCATTTCCACCTCTCCGATTCTGATTTTCTGTCTGGGGGGGAAAAAGGGTCCAGCTTGCAACTTTCTGAAGAGGCGCGAGTTCCTAAAGACACATGCGTCATGGATCTTTTCCGACCATCCCGTGTTATCAGTGAAATGGCCCTTGTGGTCAATCAGTGCTTGCAGCACCATGGAGAAGTACCCCTTGCGGTTTATGTATTCCTTGGAAAGATGGTCGGATGCCAAGATGGGGGTGTGCATTCTGTCCATTGCCCCAACGTAGTTAGAGGACCCCCATCACGGCAAAGCCTTCCACTTTGGCACCTATGTTTCCCAGTTCCATGAAAGTAGCCTTGCGCATTTGGAAATTTTGCAGCCATTGCTGATTGTCCCATACCTGCAGCACTATGCGATCCCACCAGTCTGTGAACATCTGACAACACCAGAACCAGCGTTTCACTGTTTCCAGAGGATCAGTTGGCGACTGCGTTTCCAATTCCCTCAACTCAAGGGCCTGTCTGGACAGTGTGCCCATGGCATCTTGACATTTATCCTTGTCGTCTTCCTGAAGTGCTGCGCATATGCTCTCAACATACTCCACCATTAGGCGCACCAAGGTAGACTTTAATGCACAATGGGATTCATGAGGGGTGCTGTGCTCCTGATGCTGTGACATCAACGCAGGTAACCAGGGCCAAAAAGGCATGGGAAAAAAACTGTTTCTTGTTAATGTCAAGCAAGGGGGAAGGGAGTAGATGAGCCCATTATGGAATGCTGATGACATGAACCCAGAACCACCCAGTACACAGTTTTGGTCCTGGTGTGCACCTAGAGCATGACCCAGAATGCAAAGCGGCACAGGCGCTGTGGGATAGCTACCCACAGTGCATTGTTCTCAAAATTGATGGCAGTCTCCCTACTGGGATGTGCTGTTTCGAACTATGTTGAATTCTTGTGCATATGGTGGACATGGACCTTCGACTTTACAAAATCAGGTGGTAAGACATGACCTAAGATTCCAGATGCTTTGACTAGATGTGAACATCTGGGCAACTCATCCCCCATTGGCAACTTGGGGGAAGGGTGGTAAACTGAAATAACCACCTGAAAAAACACATCCTCCCACATGGTACATGGAGCACAGAGAATAAAGCAGGTATTTGTGGTTGTGGGGATAAAGGGAGGAGCTTAGGTTTGTAATGAAAGACGAGTTGGGAGATAGATGTGGGGGGGGGGGGGGGAGGGGGGG